CTCAAAAAAAAAAAAAAAAGAATGAGGTGGGATTATAGTCTTCATAAAGGTGAGGAAACAGAGGCAGAGAACTTAAGACATTTGCTTGTGACCACACAGCAGGAAAGGGGCAGAGCTGAGTCTCTAACCCAGGTCTTCCTACGCCCCAAACCCTTTCAGTGTTCTTTCAGGACTTGGATTCTGAAGGCAGCAGCCTAGAATTGCAGCTTTAACTGTGGTTGCTTCTAAATGGCAGTGGATACTTAGAAAGCCCAGAGCTTTTTTACTCCCTGCCTAGACTTACACAAAGTAGATGACTCTGGTCTTGCATTTGATCGCAGCATAACGCTGCAGAGCCATCCCTTCCCTGTCCCAGTAGGGAACACAGGGTGGTAGTAACTCAGTGGAGTCTTTGATGAGCAGCACCTGTTAGTCCTGGCCTTGCGGCTTGACTTTTCGTTGATCAGCAAATAATTGAATTCATCCGTTGACTCCTGGCGTAAAGTGGGATTAGATCTACTACGTAAAAATGCATTGGCAGTAGGGGGATACTGCCAGGAGGTGGGGGCCATAATATCACTAAGGGTACCCAATCTCAAATCAGGCAGGCCCAAACTTTACCTGTATGATGACCACTTGGGTACCTAACCCTGAAATATACCCCACGTCTTTTTAAAAAAAAAAAAAGAAGAAGAAGATCCAGTATATAGCAGTGGAATAGATTTGACTTTTTTGGGCAGGAATAGAAGGGATGAATGAGGTGGAGAAAGAAGCTAAGAAGAAAAACAGAGATACTTTTTCATGTATAACAGCACGTTTTATGAAAGCTTTTCATATACAACGTGTCAGAGTAGCCCCACTATGCAGTGAGGGCGAATAGAGAGAGTGTGTCCCCTTCTTTCTGTATTACAGGAAACAGGGTGTCAGGGTCTCATAAGCTGCTGTGTTATTAGACACACTGGAATGGTCTAACTTTGTGTCACTAGATGCATGTTTGTATTCTTTAGGCCTCATGCTTGTTTCTTCATCCTTCAGGTATATGAGCTGCCATTTTTAGTGGCTCTGGATCATAGGAAAGAGTCTGTGGTGGTTGCTGTGAGAGGGACCATGTCTCTGCAGGTAACGCTGGAGCCTGACATACCAGACCTGGGAGCTTGGGGAGGGGGAGGGAGCGGGAGCATAAGTCAGCAAGCTGGAGATGTGAGAAAACATTTTTAAGTAAAAATAAGGATAGACCATGAGGAAGTGAGTCCAGGGTTGTGAAATACTCCCTTCGCAAACAATGGAGTTGTTTCCTCTTAACTGAGAGCTGTCCAGAACAGCTGTCCGCAGATTGGCTTCCTGCCAGAGGAGCTCCTGGGGCGCCTGCCTGGCTCCCTCTTGCCTAACTTTCTTGAATGTGCCCAGCCCGACCCTGAATCCGTCCCCTCGAATTTCTGACATACAGAGCTGTGGTGGGATAGTATGTTAAGCCTTGCTGCCAAAGTTCCACTGCTCCTCACTGTAGGTTCTGTAGTGGCCGAAAGTTCAATATGAGAGACCACCAAGAGCCAATTCCGATGAAAGTTCAAGAGGGTCTTTATTTGCAAGCTCGAGCCTGGACCTCTGTCGACAACT